GTAGGCAACATCATGCCTGCAGTGCATGCGTGTACTGCTGGGTGGCCTACCCCGAGTCTCACAGGCGCCGAGCTCCCGTTATTTGCCGATAGATCCGAGGAAAAAAAGACGGTACTGTCTGGATGATCCCGTAAAGTCAGCCTGCTGCTTCGCGAGCGTGTCCACGCAGCACAGCATTGCCTACGTCCAAGACCAAGTCCAAGGCGCCTCGCTCCGCTATACAGTGGGTACAACCTGGTCCCCGCCTCAGGAGTCATCGCAACACGACGTTGCCGGCCTCCCGGGCGCCCGCAGCTGACGGGCTCTCCGTCATTGCCGCGTGGCTTACGGCCGCCCCCTGCCGGCCGCTAATAAGTAATTAGTCTAATTTATCGGTGCGGGTCCAGCAAGGGCCGCCCCGCCCCGCCCCGCCACGCCTCCGGCCGCGCCATGCGCGAGTGGGCAGCGCGGCCGCCGCGTTATTGGGCGAGCCGGTGAGCCTCCGCCCACCTCACCGGGGGGAAGGGAGCACCCGGCGACCAGGTGTGCGCGCCAAACATTTGGGTAATGAAGCCATTATACTGCGTTTGTTTTGTCGGATTGGGCGGCCGGCGGCCGGGCGCTTTGGCCTGCACCGAGGCTTGCACAGCACAGGGCCTTGTCTCGCCCCGCCTTTGACCTGCTTACTTGGCTACCTCTCTTTACTCTGCATAACAATTATTATTCCTGACCCGCCTCGGCACGCCTTCGCAACACTGTCCATCGGCTCATTGACTGTCGTCCCGCGCAGTGCAAGAGGAACAAACTCTCGTCAAACAGTGCGTTTTGTTTCTCTTTCCTTTGCTCTCCCATCATCGAAATATCCTGTAGTTGCTTCAATTATTAGAGAGTAGGGGGGGGGGGGAGTGAGAGCGAAAGAGGGAGGGATGGGGATAAGACAAAGCGGTCTCCTCGCGCTGTGCGCCCCTCGCTCGACCATTAGTCCCGTAGAGTACGACCCTACTGCAGGGCGTGGCGTGGCGTGGCGGGGCGGGGAAGGACGTCGCGGGAGAAAGGGGGAGGGGGATGCAGAGCGGGAGGCGGGAAAGGCGCTCGCGCGCTCGCATTCCGACGACCCGCGTGTCCAATGACGCGCAGGCAGGACGGGGCGGG